TGACTCACCTATTGGAACACCTAAAACCAATGATTTAGAGGGGTGTCCAAATACTTTTGGCAATATAGTGTATATTTGTTCAGCATGTCCCTGTCGCAAGCTAGTTTAGCCCAATCTAAAGTTATATCTAATCTAAAGCTTATTTAAAGTCAAAATTGTTGGATAGCATGAAAGGTCAAAATTGCTGTCAGTTTTTTTTTCTTTATACCATCTATGTTTCATTAAGGAAATTTCACGTCACTTTCTGTGCTATAGACTTTGTGGGAATGAGAGGATCTCTTTCCAATGTAAGGGAAACTCCCACTTAGACAGCTGTCATATGAACAAGTGTGTCCATTGGAATATTTATCCTCTATTCTGTATTCCTGGTGATACTGATGATCAGGACAGAGAGAATGAAAACCCCCTAAAGGGGATACAGACTACAAACAAAAACCTGACAGTTTTAACTCTTCACTGTCCAAATGAGAAATAAAAAAAAAAAAAAAAGACATACACACATAAATTATATATTTATTTATTTTTGGGGGGGTTTTTTGCCACACACTTTATATTTAAATGTATATTTTTCCATGGATAATTCATTAAAGGGATAGTTCACCTTTTCAAAAAAAGCTGTCAGCACCCCCGCAGCTTGTCCAACGGTCGGGGAATTTGAAATACCTACCCTTTCTCTCTTTTCTCCATGCAGTGCTTCAGTATTGGACCAGATAGATTATGATTGGCCAACACCATCCCAGTGAATTGATTTGGTCTGTCCTTGAAGAGCTGCACAGAGAAGAAGGAATTTCAATCCCTGGACTAGCTGTGGGAATGCTGACAGCTTAGCAACCCCAGAGGTAAGTACAGAGGTGACCGAGGGGGTGGGAAGGGTGTCTGGTGTTAGTTCACCTTTACAGTTTTTCTGTTAAGGCTGAATTAAAACTTGAATGTGTGTTAGGCAACACTGCTGATTTACCCACTCTATACTGGGTTTTCAACAGGAATATATGGAACGTTCCCATTTTATAAAATGTAAACCTGACATCAAAGCCATAGCGGAGTTTATAAGTTTTGCTAGGGGTGAGGAGATTTTTAAAAGGAAAAATAGTGTATTTTTCAGCGAGCAAATATTTTGAATTATTATTGTAGTGTATTATTGTAGTGTTCTATATATATATATATATACCTGGGGCAAGTATATATATATAATATATATATATAATATATACATATACACATATACATATACACACACACACACACACACACACACACACACACGTGTATGTATAAATATATATATATATATGTTATATATATATATATATATATATATATATATATATATATACACACATATACATACACACACACACATATACATATACACACACATACATATATATATGTACATACACACACAGTGGGGAAAGTTTGGGCACCCCAGCTAAAAATTTGTATTAATGTGCATAAAGAAGCCAAGGAAAGCAAAGGAAGAGTGGTCAGGGGGTGAAGGAGCATGAAAAAATCTCCAAAAGGCATCAAATTACAGATTACACATTCTTATAATATGTCAACAAAAGTTAGATTTTATTTCCATCATTTACACTTTCAAAATAACAGAAAACAAAAAAATGGTGTCTGCAAAAGTTTGGCCACCCTGCAGAGTTAATATCTTGTACTGCCCCCTTTGGCAAGTATCACAGCTTGTAAACGCTTTTTGTAGCCAACCAAGAGTCTTTCAATTCTTGTTTGAGGTATCTTTGCCCATTCTTCCTTACAAAAGTCTTCCAGTTCTTTGAGATTTCTGGGCTGTCTGTCACGCACTCTCTTTTAAGGTCTATCCATAGATTTTCAATGATGTTGAGGTCAGGAGATTGTGAAGGCCATGGCAAAACCTTCAGTTTACGCCTCTTGATGTAATCCCCCGTGGATTTTGAGGTGTGTTTAGGATCATTATCCATTTGTAGAAGCCATCCTCTCTTTAACTTCAGCTTTTTCACAGATGGCATCAAGTTACCATCCAAAATTTGCTGAAATTTTATTGAATCCATTTTTCCTTCTACTCCTGAGATGTTCCCTGTGCCACTGGCTGCAACACAACCCCAAAGCATGATTGATCCAACCCCATGCTTAACAGTTGGACAGAGGTTCTTTTCATTAAATTCTGTGCCCCTTCTCCAAATGTACCTTTGCTCGTTCCGGCCAAAAAGTTCAATTTTAACCTCATCGGTCCACAGAACTTGTTTCCAAAATGCATCAGACTTGTCTATATGTTCATTTGCAAAGTTCAAACGATGATTTTTGTGGTGAGGACGTAGAAGAGGTTTTCTTCTGATGACTCTTCCATGAAGACCATATTTGTACAAGTAACTCTTTATAGTGGAATAGTGTACCACAACGCCAGTGTCTGACTGCACGATCCCTCCAGAAAGATCTGGCAAACGTGGGTTTTGAATTGTTTTTCTCACAATCCTGCGAGCTGTTCTGTCTGCTATTTTTCTTGGTCTTCCAGATCTTGCTTTAACTTGTACTGTTTCTGATGACTGCCATTTCTTAATTACATTCCGAACAGAGGATATTGACAAAAGTTTGGGTGCCCAAACTTTTGCAGATGCCATTTTTTTGTTTTCTGTTATTTTGAAAGTGTAAATGATGGAATTAAAATCTAACTTTTGTTGACATATTATAAGAATGTCTAATCTGTAATTTGATGCCTTTTGGAGATTTTTCCATCTTTCCTTGGCTTCTTTATGCACATTAATACAAATTTTTAGCTGGGGTGCCCAAACTTTTGATCCCCACTGTATATTTCGCATCTATATCCAAAAAACAAGAATGTAATATAGTGCAGATTTAGTCCTTAGATGTGGTGGCTGCATTTGTTCTCTTTTTCAGGCTCTTTATTTTTACTCAGAGATTCTGTCAGTACTACACTTCCTGTCCTAGGGTGACAAAGCTCAAACCATAGGTTTAAAGAACCCTCTCATTTCCATAACTTACTGGGGTGGTTTTTTAGTTAACAGAGGTGAACTAGGCAGGGTTAATAACAATGATTCAGATAACACTACAGAATGAATAGGGTAGCACTGGATTTCTGGCAGGTTCAACAGATATTTTTGCACCTTTTGAACAGATATAACAAAACACTTTCAATGGTATGCTTAACAGACCAAATGGGGGCAACTAACAAATTAATTGTTAGGGTTACATACACTTTAAAGTAGTAATTTAGTTTTGTACAATTTTAAATGTTTGCTATTCAATACTTCTTTATTAAAATACTGAGATTTTTAGATTATCCACTGGAGGGAACTCTTAATGACTAAGTGCAATGCAACTTCATTTCTCTTAACAACCATCAAGAAAAGATATCAGTCATATAGGGAGTGTATTGTGTTCAAGGAGTCAGCTAACTCACAAACATGCATTTTTGGATGAAGAGTAAAGCCGGCCATAGGCGGTTTGAATCTCAGCCGGTTCCTGCTGAACCATGTATAAACAGACTGAATAGACACAAGTTGATCGATCCCTGCCGGAATTTACATGTGATTATCCCTAGTGGCTGTTCTAGGCAATAGCAATAATCACTGTGTTCTCCAAGCGGGGACGGCTCCCTCCGTCTAGGGAACACAATGGCTCAGCGGGAGGGATTCCCCTGTAAACACTGTCTGTGTTGATGGGGGAAATTAGTGAATATCTTTCCTGCAACCAGTTGTTGCAGGAAAGAAATTCTCTCCGTCTATGGTATGTCTAAGGCTTCATGCATACTGCAGCTTAAAGACACCTTTTTTACAGGCATTTGAAGTTTTTTTTTTTCTGACTTTAAATGGCCCTCTATGTTAGCCTATGTGTCCATGCACACAGACATTTACAGGTGTTTGGAAGCAAAAGAGTTTAGAGGCTAGAAAAAAAAACAAAAAACAAATTTGTACATTCTGGAGAGGAGTGTTCGGACTGAAAAAATGCACAAACGTGCATCAATGCACGTTTGCATGGTAATACATTTTAATATCCAGCATAAATTAATATTCTGGCTAGTTAGAATGCATTAATACCAAACTTGCATAAACGCACATGCAAAAAAAAAAAAAAAAGTGACTTTTCCTGTGTTTTTTCCAACTGCTTTTCTCCTAGGTGTCCTTTGGAGTGCAGTGTGCATGGAGCCTAAAGCACAAATATTATACAGTATGATAAAGCAGGAAGCAGAGGCAGTATATGTAAGAAACAAATATGACTGCCCTCATGTACATATATCTACAAACTTTACATACAAACCAGATGTTGAAAACATTAACATTATTTACAAAAAGCTGATCTCTTTTTGCAGGTAATTAAAAAAAAAAAAAATGAAAAAACAATACATTCTCTACATTCCCTTTAGTTTCACTGTTGAGAAAAAAAAAATATTGCCCCATTGCATCCTATACTGAATATTCAATTGGGGGGCAGCGTTCTGCTTTTTTAATTGTTCTTTACATTTTATTGCCAGTCTGTAACCCATGAATGGATTACTAAAATAAAAAAAAAAAAAAAAACACATAATGCAGCGTTCAATAAGTGCTGGTTTCAGACAGAGAAAGTTCAATTCCTTCTAGCTTAAAAAGGATTCTAATTCAGTACAATGTGCTACCGACTGTAGGGCATTAGACTGAGTTACAGAAGCATCTGGCTTGCAATAAACCCATCAAAAGGCCATCAAAGAGCCAAATGATGAGACATGTGCAAGACAAAGAATATGTTGCTGGAAGATTCAGATATAATTACAAATCAAGCATTTAGGGAAGCAAAGAAACCTTTAACGATGTCCTATTACATCATGAAAAACACATTTACAATTCCAGTTCAGCAAAAAAAAAATTAAAAAAAATCACATATTCCAAACTGCATAGAGAATTATTTGAAGGCTCCTGCATTAAACATACCTGTTTTCACCTGTGCAGTCTTTGGGTCACAACTTCTCGATACATAATAGAAATGTAAATAAGCAATAAAAACAAAACAAAGAAATCATCCATGAAACCTAGAATACCAAAGAGAGCTTCAGGAATAATGTCCAGTGGTGACACAAGATAGAAAAAGGCTCCCAGCAGACAGAGAACAATTCTGATTCGGAACATCCAGAAGAGACCACCCACTGAAAACATCTCTCGAAATGCGTGGCGTAACAAGGTAGGCAGATCCATGATCCTTTCTAGAAGCTAGAATATTAAAATACAAAAACAGAATTATTTTCTTGTTAGCGTTTAACAATGCATCTCTATATAAACCTGAATGGAGATAAACATGGAGGCTGCCATTGCTGAACTCAAAATGCCAGTTTCCAGAATATTATGTTGATACACTTCCTTCAAGTTTAAGTTTTGGGTAGAGTGGAGAAGAGTTAAAATGTCCTCCAGGTTGTAATTTCTGTCTGTGCCCGTACTAGGGATCTCACTTCTTATCCCTATGACACCCATACCAGAAACAGGGGGTGTGGTTGTAACCAGAACAGGTAGGCATAGACAGCAATAAAAAGCCATTGCCAAAAGTCCTAACCCTTCTTCACTCTATTAACAAATGTGTTTGTTTGCTCACTGAAGTGATAGTGAGCAAAGCAAAAACCAGATGGATGCTCTAACCCCCTACCCCCTTTGTTCAAAAATGCAGAAATGATGGCAGACCATAAATGAACCATACCCTAGAGAACGCCCATGTCGGCTCAGAAAGTACCACTAGGTAGTCTCCTGCACATATAAAGCACTATACTGCAAGAGTGCGTGTTATCCTTCAAGAAGTCTATGCATTACCAGGTCCTTACAGCTGAAGTTTAGTTAAAAAACTGGGTTTTTTTTTTTTGCTACAGCTTCAATCACATAACATACCTGTAATAAAGTATATCCCTCGTCCTGTAGGTTGATAGTTGCTGTAGCAATCTACCTCAGTGATGCCTAGTCTTCTTCACAGCGCTGAACTTTCAGTGCTGCAGGGGATAAAAGCTTTGGGACGAACTTTGGTGAAGATCCTGGTGGGTGCCCGCTCCTTCCTCCCCTTGCCTCAATTCAACAAAAGTCTTTCGTTGTTTTACAGTGTTACATGCTGTGATAACAATGCAAGGACTTTGGTCAATGGAGGAGAGGACTTCAAGGTATTTGAAGGTTAGACCTGAAGTTATTAACCCTGCAGCACTAGGAGTTCAGTGCTGTGAAGAGGACCAGGCATCACTGGGGAGTAGATTTCTACAGGAACCATCAGTCAGCAGGGCAAGGGACACACTTCTTTACAGGTAAACCTGGCTTCTGGCCTTGTTCCAGCTGTTTTCAGCCCATGTGTACCTAGCTAAAGTTATGCAACTTCAGCTGAAGAAAAAAAAAAAGAAAAACCTAAAAACTTCAGTGTTAAATCTATCACATTCACATTGAAATAATGTTGGCTGAAGAGAGACTGAGTACTAATCAAAAAAAAAGATATGAATCTCTTTTGCCGCACTTAGGAATTGGGACCCAGTTTTTGATATTTGAATGTGATTAACCCAATTATGGAATTTGTACTTACAGAACGAGGCTGTCCCGAAAATCTTCTATTATAACTGTTAACTTCCTGAAATATCTCTTGCACATCTTGCTGTTCAGTGACTTGAAACATCGGAAATAGCAACGTTACCTAAAATTAACAGTTATTTCAATTAACATCCAAAACCCACTCAACAAATGTTTTAAACCGGATAATTCACTCACACAGATATAGATGAATTATTCATATCACTAATCTATTATTCAGTGACTCTGTACTGGATTAGAGTGGACCGATCATAAAAAACACACACTTTACAAATAAACAAGACACGTTACTTTGAGTAAGTGAGGACCTCTTTCTTGCCTTGAGTAGGAAAGTGGTGACGTTCTCTCCCTCGGGTCATTTTAGTAGGCAAATACAGTGAGGAACAGAAGTATTTGAACACCCTGCGATTTTGCAAGTTCTCCCACTTAGAAATCATGGAGGAGTCTGAAATTCACATTGTAGGTGCATTCCCACTCTGAGAGACCGAATTAAAAAAAAAAAAATTAGGAAATGCGATTGTATGATTTTTTTTTTAAGAATTTATTTGTCTTGCACTGCTGAACATAAGTATTTGAACACCTAAGAAACAGCAGGAATTCTGGCTCTCAAAGACTTGTTACTGTGCCTTTAAAAAGTCCACCTCTACTCCACTCATTAATCTAACTTAGTAGCACCTGTCTGAGCTCTTTAAAGACAACTGTCCACCGCACAGTCAGTCAGATGCCAACTACTACCATGGGCAAGACCAAAGAGCTGTCAAAAGGCACCACAGATAAAATTGTGGACCTCCACAAGGCTGAAAAGGGATACGGGGCAATTGCCAAGCAGCTTGGTGAAAATAGATCAACTGTTGGAGCAATTGTTAGAGAATGGAAGAGGCTAAAGAAGACTGTCAGTCTCCCTCAGACTGGGGCTCCATGCAAGATCTCACCTCGATAAGAAAGGTGAGGAATCAGCCCAGAACTACAAGGGAGGAGCTGGTCAATGACATGAAGAGAGCTGGGACCACAGTTTCAAAGGTCACTGTCGGTAGAACACTACGCTGTCATGGTTTCAAATCATGCATTGCACGGAAGGTTCCCCTGCTCAAGTCATCACATGTCCAGGCCCGTCTGAAGTTTGCCAATGACCATCTGGATGATCCAGAGGAGGCATGGGAGAAAGTCATGTGGTCAGATGAGACCAAAGTATAACTTTTTGGTCTAAACTTCATTCGTCGTATTTGGAGGAAAAAGAAGGATGAGTTACCATCCCTACTGTGAAGCATGGGGGTGGTAACATCATGCTTTGGGGGTGCTTTTCTGCGAAGGGGACAGGACAACTGCACTGTATCAAGGAGAGGATGAATGGGGCCATTTATTGTGAGATTTTGAGCAACAACCTCCTTCCCTCAGTCAGAGCATTGAAGATGGGTTGTGGCTGGGTCTTCCAACATGACAACGACCCAAAGCACACAGCCAGGATAACCAAGGAGTGGCTCCGTAAGAAGCATATCAAGGTTCTGGAGTGGCCTAGCCAGTCATCAGACCTAAATCCAATAGAACATCTTTGGAGGGAGCTGAAACTCGTGTTGCTCAGCGACAGCCCCGAAACCTAACAGATCTAGAGGAGATCTGTGTGGAGGAGTGGGCCAAAGTCCCTGTTGCAGTGTGTGCAAACCTGGTCAAGAACTACAGGAAACGTTTGACCTCTGTAATTGCAAACAAAGGCTTCTGTACCAAATATTAACACTGATTTTCTCAGGTGTTCAAATACTTATGTTCAGCAGTGCAAGACAAATAAATTCTTTAAAAAATCATACAATGTGATTTCCTGAATGTTTTTTTTTTTAAATTCTGTCTCTCAGAGTGGGAATGCACCTACAATGTGAATTTCAGACCCCTCCATGATTTCTAAGTGGGGAGAACTTGCAAAATCGCAGGGTGTTCAAATACTTCTGTTCCTCACTGTACATTATCATCTCTGGCTAGCAGGAGCACTTTTATCACAATATTACAGTCTTATCTTCACCGAGACTGCATATGCAGCAATAAATATGGCTTTCCCATGTACAAATATAATTACAAATGATAAATAGAAACACGTGTTTTAATATGTTAACACACACATTGATAAGACTGTTTACATAAAAATACTGTTTACATAAAAATACACTTGTCCATGCACTTGGCTGTGCCTAGCTTCTATAGCTGGCCACACAGTAGGGTTTATTTACTAAAGCTGGTTCACTCAATCTGGTGCAGCTGTGTATGGTAGCCAAAAAGCTTCTAGCCTCAACTTGTTCAGTTAAACTTTAGTAATAAAACCTGGAAGCCGATTGGTTTCTATGCAGAAGTGCATGAGATTCTGAATGAACCAGCTTTAGTAAATAAACTTCACTGAAATAAATCTGTCTGGTTCCTGCTCAGCAAAAGTCGATCATTTGATTTCTTGACTTCTGTCTTCTTGATTTTTTTACTTCTGTTGAAGGGTCATGCTAGAAAACGTTTATCAATCAGCAGCGGCTGCAGCCAATCAGGGCGATCACTGATCACTGTATCCTGAGAGCTGTCAGAGTACAACACCCCTGCAATTACTTCTCCATAGAAGTAGAGTAGGAGTGAGTGCATTCACACTAGTGTGTTCTCTCCTGCATTTGCTTTCACGCTGAGAAGGTGCAGCATTTGTGAGTTTTGTGCGCTTTTGGATCCAAAGACATGAAAAGTGCATCAAAAAACACATGTGCATATGTTTTTGGTGCATTTTAGGCAGCATTTTGTGTTTAACAACCAGTCTCCTCCTCCCACGAATAAATGCATGAAACATGAAAACACATCAAATGCACATGTAAAAATGCATGATCATGTGGGAACACCACTAGACTAAGACAGGATGTGTGTTATTGGTTGGTTCAATAAGTAAAAAAAAAAATAAAAAGATAATAACAAATATTACACAGCCAGCACATCTAAGGATTGGTAAACTGCTTTATATTATACTTTTGTTATTGTTTTTTACGTACACTTTAATGTTAATTCTTTCACATATTTATCTAAAACGTTCAAAAGATATACAGTGTCCCCCCCCTACAAACATGCAATGTAAAAAGACAATGTTACATCACAAATAAGGATTTTAAATACAAATGGAACTTTCTTTATTTGGAAGAAGTGGTGAGGGGATTACAACAGGGTTACGACAGGGTTTATTAACGGTCCATGTCCCCTGTGGTTCTGATCGCCAGTGTCACCAGGAATTAAAATCAGCGTAATTCCAAAGTTTTTAGATGTCACCAGAACAGGAAAAGATGGGAATCCTTACAATCAGCACACTTATCCCCTGGCAACTGCCAACTTTCCAATGATGTTGTCCCTATCTAGAGCCGAAAAATGCTGCTTACCGTTTGACGGCAAATGGGACAGCTAATAGCACCAAGCCATGATCCATACCTCCAATATGCAATGATGCATGGACCTGCAAAGAGATTTTCAATATTTATTTAACTGTATGCACAAGCTAAATATCACACCACTATGTACCAGATTTATTTACAAAGAAAAAAAAAAAAAAAAAAAAATGAGCAGGTCTGGGCCTGTTTTCTTAGCATTCAATCAGATGTACAGCTTTAATAATGCTGTCCCCAGTCCAGATAGCTGCAGGGTAACCTGTCTTAGCAATATTTCTGTGACTGGCCTGCAGCAGGAGGAGGGAGTAGGAGTGTGTTTTCTCCCAGATGTGTCTGGAGTTACTGATGATGTCAAATGCTGATATCATGTGGTCTTCCCGGTACCTCTCCTTTCATCTTGTGTAGACATTTTTGTGGGAGGCAACTGCAGTGCACTTCAGGACCTGGAACCAGTAAGTCAATAGTACACTACAGTACAGGGCTGGAACATAGGGGGGGGGGGGGCATCCCAGAGGGGCAGCTGCCCTGTGGACAGTGTTTTAATGTAGAGAAAGGGAGTGGGAGGGAGTGTAGCAGTAGATACCAATAGTGCTTTCTGGCATTACTACACTGAACAAGATTGTGCCCGGAGAACCATCTGCTGGCAGCCACCTTTAACCTCCCTAGCGGTCCGATTATGTCCATATTTCTGTGCTCAAAGCAGTACATTTTTTTTGCATGGAAATATGTATTTTTTTTATTGTAGGCTGTAATTTTTAGGAATAACTCACTGAAATCTGTCCGAACAAGAGTCTAATATACATCCCGGGTAGGCTAAAACTTGAAACACAAAATAATAACATAAAAATAATAAATTTAATTCAATAATATAATCAAACCAAAAACACTGAAATTTGAAATATAGCGCCAAGTTCGCACATCACTGAGCAAAGTCGCAAAATCGTTTTCAGTGTCTGATGCCGAATTTCCCCACGAATCATCACTCAATTCTGCAAGTCGTTCTGATTTACTATCGCTGTTCTCTAGCTGGTCTAAAACCGCTTTTGACCTAAAGGGACGCTTTTTGGACACCATGGACATTTCTCAGTTTCCGGGCAGAAAGAACAGTAAAAATGCAGGCAGGGCACAGGACAAAGCACTAGGGACAAAATTTATGTGAAATGGTTTGATACAGTAATGTTATACTATGTGGTTTTAGTGAATGTCACTTTTTGTCATTTTCAAATTTCCCGCTGTTCCGTCCCCCATACGTCCCGATGCTCGCAGGGGACGGAACCCAGAAGACAGATGCCGGCATCCGCCGAATTACATTGCCTAGGACACTGCAGGAAGGACATCGCAGGAGCGTAGGACAAGGTAAGAGATCGAGGGATCCCAGAGCAGCGCCGCATGGTAAGCCTGAGTGTAGCTCGGGGTTACCGCTTGTGGTACTGAAACTTTATCCCGAGCTACACTCGGGAATACCGCCATTGAGGTTAAACGCAGCGCAAAAAAAATATCTATATATACAGTCAGGTCCATAACTATTGGGACATCGACACAATTCTAACATTTTTGGCTCTATACACCACCACAATGGATTTGAAATGAAACGAACAAGATGTGCTTTAACTGCAGACTGTCAGCTTTAATTTGACATTTACATCCAAATCAGGTGAACGGTGTAGGAATTACAACAGTTTGCATATGTGCCTCCCACTTGTTAAGGGACCAAAGTAATGGGACAGAATAATAATCATAAATCAAACTTTCACTTTTGAATACTTGGCTGCAAATCCTTTGCAGTCAATTACAGCCTGAAGTCTGGAATGCATAGAAATCACCCAACGCTGGGTTTCATCCCTGGTGATGCTCTGCCAGGCCTCTACTGCAACTGTCTTTAGTTCCTGCTTGTTCTTGGGGCATTTTCCCTTCAGTTTTGTTTCAGCAAGTGAAATGCATGCTCAATCAGATTCAGGTCAGGTGATTGACTTGGCCATTGCATAGCATTCTACTTCTTTCCCTTAAAAAAACTCTTTGGTTGCTTTTGCAGTATACTTTGGGTCATTGTCCATCTGCACTGTGAAGCGGCGTCCAACGAGTTCTGAAGCATTTGGCTGAATATGAGCAGATAATATTCCCGAAACACTTCAGAATTCATCCTGCTGCTTTTGTCAGCAGTCACATCATCAATAAATACAAGAGAACCAGTTCCATTGGCAGCCATACATGCCCACGCCATGACACTACCCACCACCATACTTCACTGATGAGGTGGTATGTTTAGGATTGTGAGCAGTTCCTTTCCTTCTCCATACTCTTCTCTTCCCATCACTCTGGTACAAGTTGATCTTGGTCTCATCTGTCCATAGGATGTTGTTCCAGAACCGTGAAGATTTTTTTAGATGTCATTTGGCAAACTCTAATCTGGCCTTTCTTGTTTTTGAGGCTCACCAATGGTTTACATCTTGTGGTGAACCCTCTGTATTCACTCTGGTGAAGTCTTCTCTGGATTGTTGACTTTGACACACATACACCTACCTCCTGGAGAGTGTTCTTGATCTGGCCAACTGTTGTGAAGGGTGTATTCTTCACCAGGGAAAGAATTCTTCGGTCATCCACCACAGTTTTCCATGGTCTTCCGGGTCTTTTGGTGTTGCTGAGCTCACCGGTGCGTTCCTTCTTTTTAAGAATGTTCCAAGCAGTTGTTTTGGCCACGCCTAATGTTTTTGCTATCTCTCTGATGGGTTTGTTTTGTTTTTTCAGCCTAATGATGGCTTGCTTCACCGATAGTGACAGCTCTCTGGATCTCATCTTGAGAGTTGACAGCAACAGATTCCAAATGCAAATAGCACACTTGAAATGAACTCTGGACCTTTTATCTGCTCATTGTAATTGGGATAATGAGGGAATAACACACACCTGGCCATGGAACAGCTGAGAAGCCAATTGTCCCATTACTTTTGGTCCCTTAACAAGTGGGAGGCACATATGCAAACTGTTGTAATTCCTACACCGTTCACCTGATTTGGATGTAAATACCCTCAAATTAAAGCTGACAGTCTGCAGTTAAAGCACATCTTGTTCGTTTCATTTCAAATCCATTGTGGTGGTGTATAGAGCCAAAAATGTTAGAATTGTGTCCATGTCCCAATATTTATGGACCTGACTGTATGTATGTATGTATGTATGTATGTATGTATGTATATATATATATATATATATATATATATATATATATATATATATATATATATATATATATATATATATAAATAAATCACAAAAAACTTAAATGAAAAATATAGAAAATAATGACCAAATAAAAGTGCATAAAATAAAAGTCCCAATCCAAAAATTTTTTGATTAACCATTAAATGCAGCCTAGGACCTGACTTGTCACATGAGAGTTTTGGTGACTGCCTGTGCAGAGAGAGGACAGGGGGGTGCTGGAGAGGCGACATACTCCATCTGATGCTGCAGACTTCTCCACATCTGTATATGGTGCCTTGTGCAGCTGTACAGGTGCTACCACTGGAAATGAGGGCAGGGAACTTGCCAACAGATAGTGGACTGTGGGAACTCACCAGCAACGCCCTGCCAAGGTCCACTGAGTGCAATTCAGGGAGCGGGGAATGTACACCGAAGGTGGCTTTGTTATGGGGGTGGGGAGATTGTATTGAGAGGATAGAGGAATTTTTGTTTGGGAGACACTCTGTGCTTTACTTAGGCAGCCCATAAATGATTAGTTTTCTTTCCTTACACCGTTGGTGGAAGGAAAGAAAAATCGCTTGAATGCCTCCTGAAGCGCTTTTGTTTTCTGCTGGTGGGGATGCGGGGAGCCTTCTTGGCTGGCACAACACATTAATTGCTGCTAGTGGCTGTAGGCGCTGGCAGTAATAGTAAGTAGAAAAATCTAACAGACTGACTGTACCCAAGTGGATCGCTGGGTCAATTTGGGATATATCAGCCTGCCTGCACATGGGTCGAATCTTATCCCAGTCCCTGCTGAACTTCAGTTCTTGTTTGCCTGGCTTTACTTTTGACCTCTGCTCAAGACTGCATAACATGTAGAGTGTAAAATAGGCTTAGGTGTTATTAAACCCTACCCTTTTAGGCCACTCCCACTATTTTGTCCACACCCAATTGTAGCATGCTTTACATGTCACTATTATCCCTGCCCCCTGCCCTACCCCCCCAGTTAAAGTGGGCATAGTCAGGCAGGCGTCACTGGATTTCATTTTGAAATTTTGCTCACCTTACTTTTCAGTACAGAGCACATTAAATAAAAGCCCTACACATTTGCATTACAGACAGTCACAGTCCTAGCACTGCTCAGTTTTCATTTACCACAGAAAAGATGTCCACAGTTTGTTTCCACTGGAAACGTGGCCTGTTGTAAACAGACTGGACAAGACATGTCTGAGTAAAACTGATGCCGCTCATGGATTGCTGTTTCCTGAAAAACACAAAGAACAAATCCAAATCACATACATAAAATGCATATTTTATTATGCATAAAAAAAAAAAAAAAAAAAGGAGGTAATGGTTTTATTCTCTTATTTTTTTACCATGTCCTATATCACCAAGCGAGAGTAACTACAGATGTAGGGTGTGGTGTTCAGTATATATCCAGTAATTGCTCTCGCTTGAAAGTTGCCATACACATTTATGAAAGGATAACTTGGTTACAATTACAATGGGTACTGCAAAACAATTAAAGCCCAACCCTAGGATAAAATTAACCTCCCCACTTCCCTATCACTGATTGTGGATATTAAACAAAAAAAAAAAATGTTTTGACCCTCCACTGCCCAGCTTTCTGCTCTTTGCTTACTACCTGCTAAGGTCCTTTTTTCGGATGTCCATGTCATTGTCTGTGTGACATGGACAAATATCTTTGGCTGTCCAGCGAAGGGATCCACTAAGTTACAAGAAGAACACTTATGTTGGCCTAAAGGGAGTGAAGGGGTCGGGCAGTTCCAGGCAAATTTGAGGCACTTGACTACCAGTTCCATTTGATTGCCAGAATGCAGATGGTCGTTGGCAGTGATGCACATGCAGTATGAACTCAGCAGTCATTTCTGAATTCCTACTGAAGGACAGTCATTCAGGGCTAATAGCGGTTAATTGCACATTTTTGACATGTCAGCCCTGAGCAGTAGCAACGGTCAGTAGAGTTGAATCACACTGTACATACCTACAGACAAGATTTTATACAGAATCTTCCTACCAGCAAGATCAGCATAAATAGATACGCTCTTCTGAGTGAGCCCTTAAAAAGCAGCTGTACTGGGGACCATAACCTTACCCCAGCTGCAATCTCTACACCCTATTTAGTAACATCCTAGCATGAAATAGAGCAGTGTTTCTCAAACTTTTTTCAGTCAAGGCACCCTTTACAATTATGGACAGTCCCGAGGCACCCCATTCTAAAATGTGAAAAAACTATTCTAATAGTTTTATATAATGCAGCAACATCCACACATGTAGAACACCGAACATTAGAGGTGATTTATTCTTCCAAAGCAAATACACTTTTGCACACTGCTACTGACTACTGTTCCATTTTTCTCCATCACTGAGCTAATGTGACCCAAACACTGAGGGAGAGGGGCAGGGGAGGGTCAAACAAGGATGCTGTGCAGGCGGGTGACAACCTCCTTATCAACTGACGATGTTATTGGCTGGCAGGACCCCTGCGGCTAGAAGATCATAATGGTGCACTATGAAAACCTGTGGCTTTGTGTAACTATAAGGCAGGCTTGTCCACTCACTGGCTTGTATACAAGTTTTGGACAATTTTTAGACATTTTGCCAAGGCACCCCTGAAGAAACCTCAAGGCACCCCAGGGTGCCTGGGCACTCTGATTGAGAAAGGCTGCAATAGAGGAAAAGAAACTCAATTAAAAGGTCGGTCCACCCAAAAATATTTCATTTACAGGTCAAACCTGCTTCACTTTAGCCACCCACTAGACTCTTGTATCATTTTCTCTTTTATAACTCCTGGCTCTGTTCTTGCCACTTTGAAATTTAGTGTGTTCACACTCTCCTGTTGTATCCATAAGGCGCCTTTCACACGGGCATTCTGTCCTTTTTCATCCGACTATTGATGGATGAAAAACGAACAGCAATGCATTCCTATGGGCATATGGATGTAAAACAGACGTTGTCCATTTAGATCCGTTTTCATCCGCTTCTGTTAAGGTTTTTTTTTTTTTTTTTTTAAATAGAACAAATCTGCATTTTTGTTCCGTTTAAAAACGGAAGTAGACGAAAAACAGATGTAAACAGATGAAAAATGGATGTAAACGGAACAGAACTAAATGGAGAGTGGATAAACTGATGTAATCTGCATCTCTTTTTTCATAGCAAAAATGTGACTAAACAGATGAAGCAGGCGGACCACCCGTGTGAAAGCGGCCTACTATAAATACATAGAAATTGTAATAACCATTGCAGGTGTGTAGACTCTAGTAATAAAGAGCAGAAATCACCACCACCAAGTGAAATAAGAACCATTAAAAGTTTGAACTCCCCAGAATGCACTAAACACTGAAATAATTATTCAACTTATACCGTAATATCCATGCATACCTATTTAGACTACTTATAGTGTTTCAGTGGCAAGATGTAGCACCTTATGAAATACATAGATTTGTGCTGGCAAAAATTATTAAAAACATACTCATAGGTTAATATTCCTTAGTCCCCTTCAAAGGAAATGAAGAACTCACTTGTTCATTTTGTAGCTGCTCTCTGATGGCTCTCACCCTTTCTTGGTTTTCAGGGTGGATATTTTGCTGCTCATTTCTGTTTAAAACATGGAAAAAAACATAACTATATGTCACTAAATGAAAAATGTTACCCCAAATCTGTATAAACACAGTTATTTATGTCCAGGTCTATTCATCTCTACTAAAATAAGAGCTTCTCTGTGTTTTGTAAAGTGCAACATCCCCAGCTTTCCATTAGATGTGAACTAATTTCTGTACATATTTCAAGAAACAAACAACTTCGGTTATAGGTCCGGTTCACATTTCATGTATTCCAGTGCGGGGGTTTTTTTCTGCATCCAATAACACACAGAAACTAGGTTACATAGCTGTCAATGGCATAGTTCACACCAGTGCTTGCAGCTCCAGTGCGTGCAGGTTCCAGAAAAAAAAAAATGCCTTTTTTTCCCTGCACAGAACTGTACTGGAGCATGGAAAAATGCACTGGAGCGCATCAAAAACAGACCAGACTTCAAATGACCCAAAAAAGGACAAAAACCACATCTGAAGCACATCAAAAACACATAAAAAATGCACCAGAATGTGTCAAAAACACAAATGCAGAAACGCATCTGGACTGCGTTTCTATGGTGTGAACTGGCCCTTAAATGTTCAACGGGTATCACAGAAGAGTTGACTTGTCAAATTTCAGAAAATTCAGGCCTCTAGTTTCAGAACCGCTATCAAATCAGCCTGACACATGTACTAAACCTGTGGTGATATTTAAAGTCAAAGAGCTTTTAACTTACATAAAATGACCAACACAGATTGGCATTTTATTAGGGTGCCCAGTTCCATCCTTGAAGAAAACACTGTTTGGCTCTGCCCAGACTACAGCATTACCAACTCTTTTCTGATGAGGGGCCTCATTCACACTCGCGTTGCAGTAATGCTTGTTACACATTTTAGTGTATTACTGTGTCATTCAATGAAAGCACCACATGGCATAAAATATATTACAGTATGCTGCACTGTAAGTAAATGCAGAAAGACCTATTTTTCATACGTAGAGATGGGTTTGAAATGAATTTGCTGCATAACACGGTGCAATGCATCTCATAGCACAAAGGCACGTGCATTGCAGCACAATGTGGTGTGAATAATCCCCTTTAAAAGTCCATCTTTGTACAATTAAAAAGGTCTCAATCTCAAAATAAACACATGGAGGATCTCAGAGGTACTTAGGGAACACCTAAAGAAACAGGATCATGAAGACCGATATGCTATTAAAGTTCTATAGAAGCATAAATAAGGGGTGGCTACAAAGAATATCCTCAATTCTAAATACCCCCTGTAGCACAGTATTATGCATATTCATTATTAAAAAACTTAACGTATTTACACAATTAAAACGCTACCTACAGAAGCCCATCAAAGTTCAGTGACTAAATGAGTAGGGTCTTAGTCAAAATGGGAACCAAGAGGCCAATAGTAGCTCTGAAGGATCCACAGTTAAGATGGGAGAAATTCTCCATGAGAAAACTATGCCTGGACATTCCTAAAATTCCTGAGACTAGAGTTGAGGTTCACCTTCCTGCAGAACAATGAACCTAAACACACTGCCAAGGCTACACTGGAATATCCTTAAACCAAGAAACAGAAACCAGAGGGCGAGGCCAAAGTGATGACTGAGGCCAACTAGAGCTCACATCCCTTTCTGTTTGACTCCTGGGGATCAGTAGGGCGGCGTCCATCCTTCCTCACATTCAAGAACCAGAAAGTCTTAATGTGAAACCAAATTCCCAAGCTTTTTTCCAGCCTCTGTCAGATGCCAGGAATGGATTTTTAATTCCAGGTCAGCTATGTAAAGATAATGATTTCACAGTATCTCAACATCAATTTCACAGTATCTCAACCTCAACCATTGCTGACCCTGCTCTGCTGGAGCCATCATTGGGCTGCCTCAAACCAGGTAACAGAGGCATGTCCTGCATCAGAAACGTAATGAAGAACAGAACCACTCCCAACTGTTAGGCTTAAACAAACGCCAATTCCCGTGGCAGAAAACAAAACACTCACATAGAGCATTCTTATACACGTTTAGGCGCATTTAGAAGTGTTTAGAGTTTTTTTGCCAGAAAACGCCAATCAAAAATGCAAACTAGAAGGGGGTTTTTTCTGCCTCCAAATGCTGAGCCTAAAATATGCCTCTAAATGTCCAAATGTGCATGGACACATAGGATAACACTGAGCTGCTTCTACAGGAAAAACACAACTCCTGTAGAAGCAGCGTTTTTTTTAAGCAAGTGTGCATGGACCCTTAGAGCTTCCTTAAAGTAAGCCAATGAGGAGAGAGCAGCCGAGCCGTGACTATGTGTCTTTTGGGCGCAGTGAGCAGCGGCTCAGGAGTGAGCATGTAGCAGTGCCCCCAGGGCAAGCAGCTTTCCCTGGGGGAACTGCTCGAGGGGGAAGGGCCAGAGCGCTGTAGGACCCAAAAAGAAGAGGATCGGGGCACCTGTGTGCAAAACTACTGCACAGACCAGGTAAGTATGGACATATTTTTTTATTTTATGAAGTATCATTTTAAGGTGCCTGCAGCCCAATAAAAGAGCTTTCTACCAACATGTAAGTCTACATCAAGCCTGTTCCAATGCACACTACTCGGAGAGAGTATGACCTTCTTAATCACTTTACTACCGGGCTATAGCCGAATGACAGCTACAGCGCGGTCCTCCAGTTCTGGGAGGGCGTCATATCCCCTCCCTTCTGGAACGTCCTCCCAGAATGTACCCCCAGTGGCATGCACCCACTAGGGGCGCATGATCGCTGTGACCTTTGGACACAGCTTATTACATGACATGGTAAAAGGCCAACCACAGCGGTCTTTTACCACATGACCAGCTGTGATCACAGCTGACCACCATGTAAATACACTTGCCGGTTATTGGCAAGTACTTTCCTCACACTGTCAACAGCATGAGGAAAGTACTGCTGGTAACTGGCAACTGTCAAAGCAGACATCTGCAAGGATAATCAGGGCACTGATTATCAGTGCAACCCAAAAAGTGCCCAACAGCGCTGCCCATCAGTGCCCAACAGTACTGCCCTGCCAATCAGTGCCCAACAGTGCTGCCAATCTGTGCTAGTCAGTGTCGCCTATGAGTGCTGGCAGTCAGTGCCCTTCAGTGCTACCTATTAGTGCCACCTATCATTGCCGCCTATCAGTGCAGCATCATCAGTGCCTCCTCATCAATGCCCACCAGTGCCGTCTCATCAATGCAGCCTAACAGTGCCCGCCAGTGCCGCCTCATCAGTGCCGCCTATTAGTGCAGCCTCATCAATGCACATCAGTGAAGGAGAAAAATTATGTGTTTGCAAAATTTGATAATAGTAACAAAGAAAACTTTTTTTTTTTCAATGTTTTTGCTCTTTTTTAGTTTATAGTGCAAAAAAAAAAAATAAAAAACCCAGTGGTGATTGAATACCACCAAAAGAAAGCTCTATTTGTGTGACAAAAATTGATAATTTCATACGGGTACAGTATTGCATGACCACATAATTGTCATTCAAAGTGCAACAGCGCTGAAAGCTAAAAATTGGCCTGGGCAGGAAATGGGCAATAGTGCCCAGTAGGCAAGTGGCTAAACTGATTTCTCCAGCTTGTAGAGGTGCTGTGGATGCAATAGCTGTCAATGCAAAAAAATATAAAGTACATTTAATTATGCATCACAGAAAGACATAGCATGATCCTGGTAATGTAATTATTCTGTAAATATCTGCACAATTTTTGTGGCATTTTAATGTACAAAACATTGCAGGGTATGCAAATACCTCTACTCACTTACGAACATTTGGATTTTAAAATGTCACTTTGCAACATGGCATCATAATATACTACATCCATTATTTCAAACAGCTACAAATCAAGTACTGTGCTTCTTTAACATACCTTAAGAGAAAAATAGATGAGTATAGCTACAAAGCTCAGACTTAGTACAACTGCAACAATCACTTGATTGCTTACTCCTTCAATAAATGTCCCATCGTCCGACTGTAAGTGCAGAATATTGTGGGGGTTTTCAGCCATTCCAGAATTTAGGCGTTAATACCTAAAATAATACCTAAAAGCAATAACAAGTTAAGTCAATAACATAATGTGTGTACTTTAAGTTCAGTCTTATTTTCACTTTGCTAGCACAGGAAATACATTGACTGTATATAACACATGATGTTAAATTAGGTAACTAGGCCTTTAGCGGAATTCCAACACCTTTGAATAAAACTTTTAACTGTCTCACACATAACAAAAATTAAGCCACATACATAAAGGCCTTGGAGACACTGACATCACATCACTGCAAGACTATATAAGCTATTCATACATTGATTTGTAAAGCGTTGCTGTCAAATGCTATTTTTTAATGCTATAGGTGGAGAAGTATCTGTTAGGATGGTAAACTGGTAGGATGCATGAAGAAGTCTCACCAGGTGTACTGCACTTATTTTTCAACTGTCTATTGTGGTTTTCAGTAAGGGTTGTTTAACCTCCCTAGTGGTCTGATTATGTCAGTATTTCTGTGCTCAAAGTGGTAAATTTGTTTGCATGGAAATAGGTTTTTTTATTGTAGGCCTGTAATTTTTAGGAATAACTCACTGAAATCTGTCCAAACAAGAGTCTAGTAAACATCGCGGGTATGTTAAAATTTGAAACACGAAATCATAAATTATAATTTAATAAATCATAAAAAATAGTAACAAATTTAATTAAATATAATCAAACCAAAAACACTGAACTTTGAAATATAGCGCCAAGTTCGCACATCACTGAGCAAAGTCGCAAAATCGTTTTCAGTGTCTGATGACGAATTTCCCCACAAATCATTATCACTCAATTCTGCAAGTAGTTCTAATTTACTATCGCTGTTCTCTAGCTGGTCTAAAACCGCTTTTGACCTAAAGGGACGCTTTTTGGACGCCATGAACGTTTCTCAGTTTCCAGACAGAAAGAACAGTAAAAATGCAGGCAGGGCACAGGACAAAGCACTAGGGACAAAATGCATGTGAAATGGTTTGATACAGTAATGTTATACTATGTGAATTTAGTGTATTTTGTGAGTCACTTTTTGACATTTTTTAAATTTCCTGTCAGTTCCGTCCCTATACGTCCTGACATCGCAGGGAACAGAACCTGGAAGAAGGATGCTGGCATCGGCCGGAGGACATTGCCGGGGATGCTGCAGGGGGGACATTGCAGGAGGGAAGAACAAGGTAAGTGCAGAAGGGATCCCGGAGCAATGCTGCAGGGTATTCCTGAGTGTAGCTCGGGGTTACCACTTGTGGTGCTGAAACTTTACCCCGAGCTACACTCGGGAATACCTCCAGGGGGGTTAAAAAATAAATAAATAAAGATGTCATACTGACCTGCTCTGTGTGGTGGTTTTGCACAGCGCAGCCCAATTCTCTTTTCAGGTCCGCCACTGGCACTCTTGGCTACTCCCTCGGGATCAGTGACCCAATAGCAAGCTGCTTGCTATAGGGGAATTGGTGCGCGCTTGCTCCCTAGCCTGGCTTTAGGCATCAATAAGACACATAGAGCCATGGCTTGGCCCTGCCCCTGCTCTCTTCTCATTGCCTCACTGGCTGTGATTGACAGCAGCCAATGAGAGAGAGTCCTGGGACAGCTGAGGCTCTCGTGCACATCACTGGATCGAGAGGGGGCTCAGGTGAGTATTAGTGGAGGCTGAGAGAGAAGTAGCACACAAAGTTTTTTTACCTTCATGCATAGCCTCTTTACAACCACTTCACAATCCTGTTTTAGTTAAGTAATCCCATTACAAATCATTATGCACAAGTCATCACATTGCACCATAACATTGATATATTTTATTTGTCCTGATCCCGTCTGCGTGACGGGGGAGAACATGTAAGAGGATGTGCGCGGACTGCGATCCGTATCTGTATATGACTTGTTATGCCTTTCATACTTCAATAAAACTTTTTTGGAAAAATATTGATATATTTTTATTTCTTATCCCATTTGATCAGAGAGTATTGATTGTAAAAATACAGGTGTCTATGCCTCTGTCCAGTAATAACTACAATCTTAACCCCTTAGCGCCGGCACCTCCCGGCCCTTTAAGGGTTTCAGAAGCCGGGAGGCGGGGCAGGGTTTTAGGGTCATGTGACCACCATGATTTGCCATCACGGCGGTCACATGATCGGGAAAGGTCACGATCGAAAGAGGAGATCGGAACCTTTCCGTGAGTACCGGACATGTGTGCAGGGCGAGCGCTGTCAGCACGTTTTTCTTAATTGCACACAAATGTGCGGCCGCTCGGCGTCTAGGCCGGCGTGAAGAGGTTAAACCCCAGAGCTAACTTGATTTCATGAGAAGATTGCTATATTCATTTTTAGTTTTTAATAATTTCTAACATATAAACATGTTGATTTTAGTTAAAGTGGAACTTCACCTCTCTCAATCAACACAGACTATTTCTAATCCTTACACTGCCAGCATTAGTAAATAGATAGGAAAGCATATCATATTTATTTGTTTTAACCTTTCGTGCATTCCGGCAGTTACTTAGGCAAATGATCTCGTACATCCTGGGAGTCATCATGGGGGCAGGGAGGGTTCTCAGCTCAGCCAATGCCTGAGCTAAGGACAGATGGATTCCAGGAAGTAACTGTTTGTTTAGCACTGATCACTGTATTGGTGTCACTGGGTATGTCAGTGACACCAAGTCAGTTCCCTCCAGTGTCAGAATGCCCGCCGCAGTCCTGCTATAAATCGCTGATCGCCGCCATTACTAATAAAAATAAATTTAAAAATTCCAGTATCTATACCGCCATTTGTAAATGCTATAACTTTCACGTAAACTAATTTACATGTATTGGGATTATTTTTTTTTTAGTAGACATGTAGCAGAATACATTTTAGCCTAAACTTATGACAAAATTAGATTTTTCACATTTTTTTTACTGAATATGTTTAATAGCAAAGTGAAAAATATTGTTTTTTTTTTAAAAAAATGCCGATCTTTTTTTTTCTATAGCGCAAAAATAAAAAGATGGACAGGCGATCAAATATCACCAGAAGAAAGCTCAATTTGTGGGAAAAAAAAAAAAAGGACGTAAATTTAATTTGGGTGCAGCGTTGCATGACTGCACAATTGTCAGTTAGGCTACGTTCACACTAGCGTTGTGTGCAGGTGGCACAGAGGCATTTGGGAAGCGTTTTTTACCGCTTCCCAAACGCCTCTGACAATTCTGCACATTGCAGCACATGGTGCTGTTTTAACGAAAGTGTTAGCGTTAGCGTTGCGGCAAAATGGACACCTCTGGTCAAGTCAGGAGGCCTTGAAGCCTCCTATTCTAGCCTATGGTGCTGCTCCGCAAACGCCCGACCGGCGTTTGCAACGCGGTTGCGGGGCGTTTGCAGAGCGGTAACACCATTTAAACTTCATTATAGGCGTTTGTGGGGCGTTTTTAATGCTCGGCAAACACCTAGCAACCGCTGCTAAACCGCGCATGCGGCGTTGGTGGAGCGTTTGCCAAGCGTTAAACACTCTGCAAACACCGGACCAACGCTTGCCAAACGCTATAGGGCCGTTTGGCAAGCGTTGGTAAAACAGTCAAGTGTGAACGAGCCCTTAAAGTAATGCAGCACCTTAATGCAAAAAATGGCCTGGTCTGGAAGGGGTGGTAAATCCTCAGGAGGGAAAGTGGTTAATACAGTGCGTGTTTTCCCTTTCTTCCTAAGGATTTCAGTGTGCCATACTCAAGGATGGACTAGAGTTTGTGTTCACACTGAGCAGATTAACCCTCTCTATTTGTCTTGATGACCACTGTCCTTGAGACAGAAAGTGGGGAGGGGGAAGATGTCATCAAAGCAAAAGATGAGAAAAATATTCCATTGGGAACACCATTTTCAATGTCGACTCTCCAAGATGGGAATTCCGTTCACTTTGGAGAGATTTTCTCTCATTTTCTGTTGTGTCTCTTAGATAGGAAGTGAGGGGAAATTACACTAGTGGCACAAATACACCAAAATAAACTGCATAGGGTTTTTAACCTTCCTATACATGTATTAACGTTCATGTAGTAAGACACTGAAAAGTTGTAAGGCCAACGTAAAACATGAACAAACCTATGTTGAAAGACACAAACTATATAACCTCTGACTTACAGCATTTTTTGCCCTTAAAATGATGGGCTCTGTTGATATCCCATCCCCTTGATTGCTGATACTTCCCTTCTCCTTGCCTTGTTTGTCTAGTGGGCCAAGAGTAGATGGCTTTGTGTAGGCTCCATGTCCATGACAAGGGATAGCAACAAAAGGTACGAGCAGGGAGAAAGGTCTTATCACAGGGAGCTTGTTACTTATGCTTAATGGGAGAACAGTGACTGGTCTGCTTTAGTGGAGGGTTTATTGTCCATCTCTGTTGTGTAGGAGGCTGGCAGAGCCTTCAGTAGAAGAAGAAGAAAAAAGGGAAGCGCCATCTAAGTGCAGCAAACCTACAATTTTCATTAAGCTCATAAATTGGCAACTCACGTTAGAAACTGCAGTTTTTAACATGCGAGTTGCTAATTTATGAGCTTAATGAAAATTGTGAGTTTGCTGCACTTAGATGGCGCTTCCCTTTTTCTGCTGGAATTGTGTTTATAGAGTTAATTTCTAACTCTTGGCTAGCAGCCACAAGTTTGAAGCAGACCATAAGAGTGTATTCCCTGGACTCCACATTGGGTTTCAATGGAATTTTAATCGGACTTTTAAGCTATTTTGTACAAAAGATAAGCCCTATGGCTTTAACTCTTTATGTGCCATAAATACCCTTTTACCAGAACTTATTGCAGATTTCTTCCAGGGAAGCAGGTTTTCATGTCAAACACTGAAGTAAGCTCAACAAAAAAAAGTTGTAAGCTTACAGAAAGCATATAAAATAGCTCTTTCCCTAAAACACGGGTGACAAAATGGCAGCTCTCCAGCTGTTGTCAAACTACAAGTCCCATGAGGCATTGCAAGATTGACAGTTACAAGCATGGCTCCCAAAGGCAGAGGCATGATGGGACTTGTAGTTTTGCAAC